GCCACAAGTTGGACAGAGCCCCCAGATTCCGCACCTGCCGCGCCGTGATGAGAGGATATGCCGCGCCGCGTGATGGCCTCATGCCGTGGAGAGAAAAGGTCCCGCGTCATGCTGCCTTCTTCTCCGTGCCGTATCCCTGCTACTATATATACACGGTCGTGAAATATCTCCCATTCAATTCTCTTAGGCAATAAAAAACACCGAACCCTACTTCTTATCTCTCTCTCTCTTGTTTTTACTTCGTTTTTCATCGTTTTTCATTGCCAACAAGTATTCGAACACGGATTTCGCTATTTCTTTCAGATTAATCTTGTTTATCAACGTTGGGATTTATCAATTGTAAGAATCTTTTTTCGCTTAATCGTTAATTATGAGTTCTTCAGTTGTGATTACTTTCGTTGATTGTTCGATTATGAGTAGCTAAATTCGTGTGCTAGGGTATAGGGGATCGATGTTTTGAATTCGTTTATGATTGTCAGGCTCAAGATTGTTCAATTTATGCGATTCATTCTTAACTAGGATTTTCGATTTATGCTTGAATGTTGAGAATTATTGAAGGGTGACACTTCAATTTGCAATTGTTCTGATTGAATTTGATTCGTCCTTGCGTGATATTGTTAAGTCTATATAGACTAGTTTATTAACCATATTCTAGGATTATTTAATCGGCTCTTAGAATCGGAAGGGGAGGAGTCGGTCGAAATAGACTCGCATGAACTAGGCTTGTTCGTAACTGTATTGCCTAGGAGTTAATTGACTCGTTAATTTGCCGCTCTAGTTTATTCTCTTGTTATGAATAGTTATGGAGAATGAATACTTGATCGTGTATATTATTCAAATTTCTTAGCTGAACAATCACTTGCCCGTTAGTTGCATATCGAACCAAAGCGGGTATTCTCGACTCTCTAGCTCCTTAAATTCTATTTGTTCTTCGTCTTCTCTTGCTATTTTTATTGCTTTATTTAAATATCTGCAGTAGTTGATAATTAAATCAAAACCATCTCTGGATTAGTATGTTTAGGAATTTTATTTCTCTTATTTTCCCTTTTGTGTTTGAGTAAACGTATAAAATATTCCGGCTAGCCTTCCTCGAGAGACACGACCCGTTATCGAATCTTTCAATTCTACTCCGGAAAAATATTTACAACACCCTTTTGATTTTTCCAAGTTAATAAGATGTGAAAGGATCTCAGAAATGAGTATGAAGATATAATGAGAAAGTGGGTCTCCTTGTCTGATCCCTCTGGATGGTGTGATGTAACCCTTCACTGAGCCATTGATATTAAGGGAAAAAGAGAAGGAGATAATGCAGGCCATGATCCATTTGACAAATTCTGGAGAGAATCCCATTTTAAAAAGGACGAATCTGATGTTATCCCACGCAACCAAATCAAATGCCTTGGTCATTTCTAATTTGATGGCCATGTAATACCTCTTGCCTGTTCTATGCCTATTTAAAAAATGCATGACTTCTTGGGCAATGATGATATTATCAAGAATTTGATTGCCAAAGACAAAGGCAGATTGATGCTCACTAATGCAGAGATGAAGACAGGGTTTGAGTCTTTTGACAATAATTTTTGAGATCACTTTATAAATGACACGACACAGGTTTATTGGCCTGAAATGAGAGATCTATTCAGGGGAATTGATTTTGGGAATCAAGGTGTGGTTAAGACTTTTGAGCATTTTTCCAGACTCAAAGAAGCTAAGGACTGCATTACATATATCAGGACCAACGCAAGACCACATATGCTAATAGAAAAGGGAAGTCATACCGTCCATAGCTGGGGCTTTGCTGGGATTGATGCTGTACATGGCTTCTTTAATTTTCTGTACCTCAATTTTGGATGTTAAATCTCTGTTCAGGTCTTCAGGAATGACTTTCTTGATGTCTTAAAGTAGGGGAAAGTCAGAAGCCAGGTTTTCAGATGTAAATAGCTGAGAGTAGAAGAGCTCAATGTGCTTGGCTATTTCCTCCTGGTTTGTTCAGATAGTGCCATTTTCAACTTTGAGTCTGAATATCCTATTCCTTTGCCTTCTCTGGATGGTATGCGCATGGAAATATTTGGTGTTTTTATCACCATGTTTTAGCCAATGAACCCTGGCTTTCTGCTCCCAGAATTGTTCTTCTTGCTTGTTTGCCTGGTCTAGCTCAGCTTTGATTGCATCCCAGGTTGCCCAGTCAATCGGGCTCCCAGACTCTCTCATGTTGACCAGAGCTTTGTTGAGCTTATCAATCTTCCTGAAGTTGTCTGATTTGAAATTATTATTCCACTTGACGAGATCCACTCTGGAAGATTTGATCTTTTCCTGAAGCTTGACCATGGGAGTACCAGTTTGCTCTTTGTCCCAAGATCTCTGAACCACTTCTGTGAATCCTGGTTTGTGTATCCATCTTTTATCAAAGAAGAATCTTTTCTTCATGCCACATGGAAGTGAGGTGGTTGAGAGGGTGAGTAGCTTATGGTCTGATGAACTTCTAAATGTGTTTGTAACCAAAGCTTGAGGGTAAGCGTTAATCCAGTCCAAAGAGTAGAAGAACATGTCCAACTTATCCTCTACAAATCCTTCATCTCTCCAGTTGTTTGCCCATATAAAGGGGTGCCCAGTTAGCTGCAGCTCTTGCATCTCCATTAAACTGATGAAATCTTTAAATCCTGAGAAAGATGCTTCATTTCTGATTCTACCTCCTTTCTTCTCATTCGAACTTAAAATGTCGTTCCAATTCCCACCTATGAACCAATGACTGCCCCATTTAGGTCTTTCAGAAATCAAGAAATTCCATTGATCTTTCCTCAGTTGGCTATATGTGCTTGCATAGATAAAAATACCCCAGCAGGAAGCTGATCTTTGGTCATCCCAGAATTGGATTTCAAAACAAAATGAGTGCTTGATGATTTGCAGGATAAGCACTGAATTATTCCATATGAGCAGAAGACCCCCACTCTTGCCCTGCGGTTCAAAAGAGCTCCAATTACTTCCTACTCCTAAATTCCTACATACTGTATTAACAAATTTGTCTTTTTTCTTGGTTTCTGCTAAGAATGCCAAAACTAGAAGGTGAAGTCTCCATGACTCCTTGAGTTGAGAGATTGTAGAGGGGCCCCCCAACCCTCTACAGTTCCAAAAGATGGTCTTCATTGATGGGGGTGGGGTCATTTTAGGCTGGCCTACCTCACTACATCAGGTTGGATCTTTGTCTCCTTATTATGAGGTTGATGATGGTTTTGATCATCCTCCAAATTTTTGCCTGGAATGATATCCTGGTTGCCTTCCTCGTCAAGAACATCTAAGTTCCTTTTTCCTCCAATAATCAAGGGATTGACAAGATTAGTTAGGGAAGTGTTTGATATTTGTGGTTTTCTCTTCCAGCTTTTGACTTACGTAATTAGTAAAATGAAATTTATATACATTTACAATTGTAATAAATGTATATTACAATACTTTATACTTAATCTGTATGTTGTGAAATTTAAATAGTACTTTCATTTCTTTTTTATTTGTTCTTCATACTATTTAGAATTATATTTTAATGCAATTTCATCATATGAATCAGTTTCATTTCCTTTATTGATATGTTATTATGTTATTTATATATTTTAATCTATTTTGTTTAGCTTTTATTTTTGAAAGAGTTTTGTTTTTGTTAGAATCCTATTTTATTGAGATAGTTAATTGTAATTATAATTAATTGTTATATATAATAGTTATTACAATTTTTCTATTAAAATAATGTAAACATAAAGACTTTTTAGTCCATGTAATTTGTACAAAATCATTCCTCGTTTTATAATAGTGTAGATTTATATAATAGTGTAGATAACACTTTTTGTCCAACACAACACTCTATTCAGATACTATTTATAGCTATCAAATTAATTAAATATAATTAAGTGATCTCTATTGGTCACATATTAATACAACTTTTTTTCTAACTTTTAACAAAATGTTTTTTCTTCAACTTTTCAATAAAGCTGACTTTTTTCTTTTTGTAATAATAATAATTTTTTTGCCCAACACTTTATCTGTCATATACTTTTTGTAGCTATCAAATTTATCAAAATTACTTATAAATATAATTTACCCAGCTATGTTATGCACCGCAATCAAACTAGTACAATAATAATGAAATGAAAAAAAAAAAAAATTAAAAGTGTACATTCATAAGAATTAAAAAATTATTGTAATTAAAATTTTGTCATTAAAATTAATCAAATGGCTTTTTAATCTGTTTAACTTTTTACAAAATAATTTTCCTTTTTATAAAAGTATATAATATTATGTATAAATATATATTTAAAAAAAAATAACAGATGACACGCCTATTATTCAGTTTTGTAGTCATCCTTTTTAGGTTTGCAGTTGCCAAAAATTCTATGTAGTCATCGGATAGTTTTCTTATATTCATCTATCAATTAATGTATTGACACTTATCTGAAGTGTATTTATGGTAGAACACGTGTCAATATACTATTTGTAAATAAGCGTGAATGACTTCATAAGTCGTGTCATTCGATGACTCCATAACAAAACTGGTGCAGGCGAGCCCCATGGATCAACAAATGCATGCGCACTCAAACTTTCACTTGCAGTGCAATTCTACACATAATATACTGAGCAGACAAAAAAGAACTTCCAGCCTATAACCATCTTAAACTAACATCTCAGTGCCAAAGCTTGACGCAAAACCCGGCTGGCACCCTCGAGCACCCCTTGTGTGAAATAACATCCGCAAAAGTATCGATTAATTGCCCGGAAAGCGACTCGGGGTCCTCAATAAACGTGTCAATGAAAACCTTCACGACACGTACCTCCTGAGGGTTAGCCCTCAAGCTATACCAAGTCAAGAACTTCTTCCTAAAACCCGTCTCAATATAACCTTCACACTCCAGCCACCTAACAGCTTTCACGTAATACTCGAACTCCTTGTCCCCAATGCCGCTATTACACCCCTCTCGATTTTTCCTGTCTCTCTTTTTTGACGAGCTTCCAGCCTGAGGCTCAGATCCCACATCCTTGCCGTTGCACTTGGGCCTATTTTCGTCTTTTGATTTCTCAAACTTGCAAGGAGTTTTAGGCAAGTTAGCCTCGGAGCTAGCAACATAAAGCACGCATTCCAAGCCAGTGGAGACTGGGATATTGTCGGTGCTCGTCGTTTTCTGGGCTGTACAATCTCCCGATGATGATTCCTTGTTACTATTGATCGGCAAAGAAGATTTCAGAATTTCACTAGGTAAATTTGGGTGAGTTGTAATTTTACTGTCAGTAAAAGTACAGGCACGATTGACAATAATAATATTATTTGTCTCGTCCTCGACTGAAGAAGGGTTCGAGAGCGTGCTACAGTTAGTAGCCGGACTTTGACTTTGTTCAGGTTCCGAGTTTGTATTTGGGGCCTCATCCTGAGAACAAGATGTCTGGAACTGAAATTCATAGAGGCCCATCTCCCGATCGGTGTTGAGGATAGCAACCTTTAGGAAATACTGTGTGGCGGGAATAAGACCAGACAGCAGAAACTTTGTGTTCGGTTCAAATAACCGGCAAGTGGGGTCTGCAAGATAGTCTGCTTCGTCGGCTTTACGGTGCCACAGGGAATAGCCCATGAGATTCTCGGTGTGTGAGTCGTACGAGTGGAGGTTCACTGTAAGTGACGTGGCGCGAATGTCTTCGAACTGGACGAGTTTCGAGGCAAGCGTGTTGTGACCTAGAAACATAAATGAAATCGAGTAAACACATCAGATGCCAGAAGATAACATTAGTATCCGAAATTCTCAACTTCCAGTTATCTTTGATCATTCCATGTGTAACAGAAGGTAATTAAGAAGTAAAACACTGAATGCTGAAAATGTATGGACTGAGAGTGGGTAGAAGCAAAAAGCCAAAAACAGTACTTGCAGTGGTCTTTCAGCATTTGTTAATACTGGACATATTGTAGTTTTAAAGGAATAACTAGATTTTCAATGGCGACAAAAGAATTTTTCATTATCTCAATTGAGGTAACGAACGCTCTAATCAATTTTAAGAGTCCGTTTAGAATGTATTCGGTTGGAATAATGATAAAAAAGAAGACGGAAGGGAGAAAATAATTTACAAAAAGAGGGAATTCCTAACAAAATGATTTACTTCTCGAATCCAATTGAATCTAACCAAGCTAAATTGTAATTATACCCTGTTCTTTTATCTGCTTGAGGTTAGGGATTGGTCGGAACAATCACACGCACCAACCAATAGCTACACACACAGAGAGAGAGAGAGAGAGAGAGAGAGAGAGAGAGAGTACCAGAGGGCATATCAGATACTCGGTTAGAGAGCAACAGATCAAAGGACTCCACCGCAGAAGCACAAAGCCTCTGAATTTCGGGCCCTAACGAGAGCCTGTTCACAATCCCTCTCGCCTTTTTCACGGGTAAACCGGTTAAGGGACCCACTTCATCCTCTAGCATTTTCACTGATTCGTCAATGATTTCATACAGATTCTGGTAATGTTTAGTGCCCGCAAGAATCTTTTGGCCCAATGAGAGCCTATAGCCCAGTATGTCAACCCGTCTGGTGTCCCTTGCCACCACTAGTTGCTTTCTCCATGAGCTGTATTTATAATTCAATTGCTACCATTATTTTCTTTTCACTAGAGAAAAAATTATACTTGCAAGAAAATGTAATTATCCTTACAACATGCAAGTGTGACATTAAGATATTACAACAGCTCATTGAGTTTTGTATTCCCCTTTTTTTAAGAGTGTACAATGCAGAACAAAACTCCTTACCAGTACAGGTGTTAGTAATTCTAAAAGATAGTTGAGCTTCTTTTGTGGTCAGACTAAACCTCAAAAGTTCGTATTGCGATTAATCCAAATACTGATCAGTAGGCAGTACTGAAGTGTACCAACTGGAAAGTACATTCAGCCACAATTTTACCATATCAACAAATCAAATCTCTGTCAGCTACTATCTTCAAAGAAGCATATGCTACCAACCGGATAAGAGTAGACCAGAGATAGATGTACGAAATATCTATGAACTTATATTTCATATGATAAATAGATCAATCAATAAAATGTTATCAGGAATCAAAAGTACGACCGTAAAATTTTGGAAGCCATCACAGAAACTCTTCAGGAATCAAAGCATGTTCTTAAGACACAAATTAATATACTCACTGCCTAAGAGCAACCATTGCTAACAAACTATGCAAACAAAAATGAGATTCAAGAAGAAGGTGCATTATATGTTTGTTTTTATTGAAAAAAGAAAGTTGATATAAACTGCTGATGAATAAGAGGCAACACATAAAAATCTAAAAGCAAGCTGAATCACATAATGCTGCAGCACACATCATAAATTATATCATAAAACCAGCGAAAACAGTAAAAGACCAAGTAATTTTTACCTTAGTAAATCATTAATCTTCCCACAAGACACACAACAGAAGCTTCCGTCAAGTCCCTTATCCTGAGAAATACCTGAATTCTCATGCCTCAATGCGCATTCCAGGTGGCACGACATGCCACACGACATCCCATGAAATGGCGGGTCCGTGTTGCAAATCAGCCAAAGGCTCGGGTCCTTGTTGTCATCATACTGGCGGCAAATACAGCACGAGCACCTTTTGCAAAGCTCGTCCGCACTGCTCAATTGAGCCTTACAAGCCGAGTTCTTGCAGTACACAGTACTGCTGGACTCAACTTCAAGATCAACTGCCATGGTCCCACTCGTGACTGCAGGCACTCGATTTAGATGGTCGGACTTCTTCTGCCTCTTGAGAGTTCTTTCACAGTATTCTAGCGAGGCCTGCTGAGTTTCGGGATATTTTGTTGGGCCAAGTTCCTTGGATTCCTTCTCGTGTATAGTTCTCAGGAGTTGCTCAATGATTTTGGACTTTGATAACCCACTGTATTTCCTTTCCTTACCTATCTCAGTGCAAAGGATCTGAAGCAACTCAAGACGGGTCCAAGAGTGTAGAATATCGATGACGCCATTCGGCCATTTGGACATCTCATGGATGAGTTGCCTCTTTTGGTCCATATTCAATTTGCTGAATGTTGACGGATCAAATATTGCTGATGGAAAAGACGAAAAACATCACCAAAGGAAATACCATGGTCTGGGGAACATAATTTTCCAACAATCTAATTGCCAAAGAAAAACAGTAACATTTTTTTTTTTTTTTTTTTTTGTGAACGTCCACTTGCCCTGGTACTGAAAACACATTGAGGCTAGTAATTTGCAGTGGTTCGGAAAAATAGGAAGTCACTGTAGCTGGACTGAATGACGAATGTATTTATTTATTTCATGTTGCTTTTTGTCACTGGCTTTGATAGTATGAGAGCATAAAAGTAGGAGAATGATGAATTAGGATTCCAGACCCCACAATGACAGGGAAAATAAGCCATGCTAACTTGGAAAGAGAAAGAAATGGAACAGCAGAAATAAGATTCGAAAGAAGCAATCTTTGTTCTTTCTCGAATTTTATGTCCATTGCTTACTATAATTAGATCAATCAGCTATACATTGACGGGAGCCGACAAGATTTTAGTCTTTAGATTCATGTGATTTCAATCTCATAATATGAGAACACACAAAATCTGTCCATAGCATAGAACAAGAAGAAGACAAAAGCACAAGTGGTAATACAACAAACAGTGAACAAACCACAATAGCTACATCAGAAAACACTGTGATCAAGTTCAAAGTTTATTCATTCATTTCTGTCCCAGCCTTTATATAGAATACACTTGTTAATACTTCATCCCTTGAGTTCCATTGAAAGACCTTTTCGGTATATTTCCCATTAAATACATGAAAATCGAGTTGATATTAAAAACATGGAGTAAGCAACTTGTGCATGTGAAAGATGGAACCAGTCCACTTATCATGCTAATGCATAAGTTGAACTCCCCAAAATTTAAGGAAAGACCAACGAAAGATTCGTTATTTTATTTTATTTTTAAGATTGATTGAAGACAACGGGTTTACCTACGAAAAGATAAATACCAAATACCATGTATATGCCATCCAGATGCTACCAAAAGTTAATCAACATAGAAAAAAAAAAGAACTTTTATTTTTACTTGCATTATGCCCACCAAGAGAACCGATAATGTTGAATACTCGATGCAGTATAATATGCCGAAAAACTTTGATTTTGTAGAACCAAACAATGATATATATATCCAGCAATCTTAGGTAAACCTTCTTGCACACATTATGGAGAGAACCCAAAATGGCAGCTAGCAATTCATTCGTTCATAAATACTAAAACAGAGCTACTGTCTGCGTGCGTGCCCATTTAAAAGAAAAGAAAAAAAAATAATAATCAACTCGATTAGTCCTTTGAGAATGATTCACGCGCGAAATCATATTAACAAACAGATCAACCATGAACCCAACAACACATTCAACGCAAAATTTGTTTGTGTAAAAAGGGAAAAAAAAAAGGAAAAAAAAAAAAGAGAAGGTAAATATGCATAAAAAGTATCGACAATACAGCGACATAACAGTATATCCCACAAATATTCAGCAAAAAAAAAAAGCATTAAAAACAAGAATAAGAATACAGAAAAGAGAAAGAATCTTACCCTCCAAAGCAGGAGCATCCATGGCCGCTGCTTTTTGTTCTCAAGAGCAAATAAACGATGCCTACATTACCAGTAAAAAGCCCATTACTTTGTGAAACCCGAAAAACAGCCCAGTGATTGTGGTTAGCGTATTTGTATGAGTGAGCAATAAATAAAGACAGCCATATAATAATAATACTCGTTCTCGTCTGCTGTTGCTTTTGGCTGTTGCGAGCGACAGAGAGAAAGAGAGAGAGGTAGCGAAAAGGATGAATGAGGAGATGGGCCCTTCAAATGGGCTTTTTCAGCACATTGATATATAATAATCCGAAATAAAAAGCACTACAAAAATATAGAGAAATTTACACCGTATACTATCAAATCTATTTTATATTATATATTTATATTTAATTAATATTTATTTATAAAAAGACAAAAACACTCAATATATTTGCACATAAACCTTCATCATCCTTATCCAAAATCAATCATATTTCAAATCTTACACGTCCTTTCTTCTTCCACCATATTCTCTTTCCACTTTCTTCTTCGTCATTAACAACCATATTCCCCTTCTACTTTTCTCAATGTATTCATATTATTCAATCTAATAATTTCTCAAGAAAAATTGAAACGAAATGGCAAATAACTTGTACCATCAGTTCTCGTCGTCCTCCACAAGGGTTTCCAATCGCGGCTCATCTGCACGACGACTCAACTATTCCAGAATCAGCGGTTACAGACAAAGGAATCGTAAATATCTAATGCGAAAGGAAAGATCCATGACCAAACTGAGGATGAAAGGAAACGACGCCCAAGAATGAAGAAGACGACGACTACGAGTCGTTCAACAAACAGACGGGTGAAGATCTAAATTGGAATGAAATTCATGAGAATTATGAACAACTCGACGCCTGGATCTGAAATTATTTTCAGTATATGTTCTGTATATGTTCGGTA